GAATTTCTTAGGTGCTTTTTGTCATGGCAAAACCTTATTTGGCCATCAAGTTTGAAAGACAGTTTTGCAGAATGTATGTCTGGATTGGAAGTTGTTTTCTACACTTGAAATATTTCACTCCAAACTCTCCTGGCCTTTGAGGTTTGTGTTGAGAAGTCTGCTGTAATTCTAGTGAGTTTAACTTTATAAATTATTTTTTCCCCTCTAACAACTTTTAGGATTCTGTCCTGTGTTAACTTTTGGGATTTTGGCTATGATGTGTCAAGGTGAGCTTATTTGACAATGGCTATTTGGGATTCTGTACACCTCAGGTATCTGTATAATTCTTTCCATATAGTTGGAAAATTTTCTATTATTTCTATAGACAGGTTTTTATCCTATTTGTGCTATGGTCTGACTTTGTGACTAATTCCAATTAGTCTTCACTGCATCATCTAGAAGCTGCTGGATTCATTTTTCATGCTTTATTTTTAAAGTATCTCTGAGCAACTTCACACAGCAGCCCTACCTTCTGGTTGACATTATCCTTGCACTGTTCATTTCTATTGCCCATTCTTTCAATATAATTGTTTATCTCCTGGATTTGTTTGAAATATTTTCATGGACTCAATTCTTTGCTAACCTCGTCATTCATTTTGTTTAGCTCAGCTAGTTTTTTACTAGTGTCATCTACAAACTTGCTTGTTTTTTACTACATCCATTATCTGTTTGTGTTTTCTTTGAGCTCACCAAGCACTTTATTGATCTGTACATAATGCCAGCACTCAGTTGTTTTGAAAGCCACATGCCGGGCCTTACTTCTAAACATGGAGGACTGGACACCATGTCCTTCCTGGCCTGATAAACATGTGAGAGTTTGTCTAGCCTTCACTCTTTCTGTGACTGTCTGCCACGGCTGTGGCTAACCCAGTAACTAAGGGAGGCTTACACTGGGAACCCTAAAGTGGTTTTTAGTAGTTCTGATTCTGTTTTAAACCCTTCCTGAAATGGTGTCTGATTAAATACTGTCTGGCATTATGGCAGGCACTGTACTAAATTCCTTCTCAAACTGTTGCCCATGGTGTATGGAAGGAAGACTTTCAGAGTATAACCTCAGGCTATTTTTTCAGGTTACAATAGCCATAGGCTTTTCCTGGGGGCTAGCAATGCTGGGCCAATCTAGTTTCTCCCTTGAGCTCCCCACCCTGGAGACTTACCTTGCATCTGTGTAGACAGGTTCCCCTTCCCAGGTGTGGGAGAAATCTCCTAGAATGCTTAGTTTTTTTTGTGTTTTTCCAACTTCTCTGTAACTTCTAATTTTATCAGTGCCTTCCTATTCCCAGAGACTTCTCTTTTTTTCCTCTTTGCCAAGTTATTATTTTCCAAGTATCTTGATTCTGGGTCTCAGAGAGGCTGAATTTTGCTGTTTATGGCTATTTGGCCATTTTGGTTTCCATCCAGTACTTAACTTTTTAGAAACACTGAGTCACTGATTTGTATATGTTAAGAAAGGTGACATTTATGATACCTGAACTATTATCTCCATAAAGCTGTAATTTTAAAAAGGAAAATATTCTGAAATGAGCTGAATGTCCTGCTTCCCTAGTTTTACTCATTGAGATAATTTACAATGAATTTGAGGTGATTTCCTAAATTTATTAAATTAAGGGCACAGAACTGACATTCCTAATTTTCCAGCTATGCTAAAATTGATGTTGTAATAAGTTTACTAATGTCAGTAGTCTGGAGATGTTATGGCTTGTACCTAGATGCCTTACCCCTCCCCAAAATCTCATGCGCTCATAGGAGGGGCTTTTTGGAGGTGGCTGGATTTAAGGTGTGAAACTAAATTAGTCCACTGATTGGTTTAGCATAGTTCTAGGTGTGGATAATGAGAAGGCTCACTTGGTGTGGATGGACCATCCAATAGGCGTGTAGCCGGGATGGAAAAAAGAGAAAGGCTCAATATTGCTGCTTGCTACTAACCCTGACATGGACTGTTTCTCCTCTGCCATGCTGCATTGCTTTGCAGCCAGTTGACAATGGACTGAAACCTCTACAAAATGTGAACTAAAATAAATCTTTCCTCCTTTAAACTTTTAACAGTTGACTGTGGGCACCACACATTTGTTTATATACTATCTGGAATGTCACTCAGGCAGGTGTCATTCCAGTCCCTTCTTATTTGCTAGAGATACTTACATGTCTGTTTTATATCAACTATTTTTTTGCATGTTTTAATTTAGAACATTGCATTCACCTTTGTAGTGAAACCTAGTAAGTTGTTTCTTTTACTAATTAATGTTTGTAAAAATAACCTATAATTTTGTGCTACAATCTATATTCATTGTAAGTACATTAGATATAATTTTTAACCTTCTTCAGAACTCATGGTATTTCTGACAATACAAACCAGATACATTTGAGACACAGACCAATAGGAAGTGCAGAAAGATCTGAAAAAGAAAAAACTGAGAAAGTGATAAATATTAGCATGTCACAGAAAAAGTCTGTTATGATAGAAGAACAAAAAAAATCTGCTTATTGTCAACTGTTCATTGTATAAAAATTATATAACTTGAAAGAAGAAATGAAACTAAAATTCCAATAGTGGTCAATGATCATAACTCTATGGGTGGTGTTGACAGAGTTAACCAACATCTAACAAGTTATTCTGTAATCAAAAAGCAATTATTATAAGATATTATGCACCTTCTAGACCAAACAATACGGAATTTATCATTTAATTAAAACAAGAGGGTTCAAAAAGTCATTTACAATCTAGGTTAGGTTTAACAGAAAAATATGAAAAATTTGGGATAGTAAATACCAACCAGGATGCCTACCATTGATGCAGTCACCGTTACATTTATTGAATAGACATTTTATTCAAAGTATACCACCCATCAAAAAAAAAAGGCCAACACGACAGTTTAAAGTGTGTTTAATGAAAATAAAATTCAGAGACTAGATACTACTGTCTAGATTGTAACACTATGTTGTACACTGAATTTTTTAAGATACCATACAGAAAAATTAATGAATTGAACTGTCATTTTTATATTTCCTATTATAAAAATTAATGAAAAATATGCAATTTTTGGTCCTCCTGTATTTAAATTATTGGACTGGCAAGTGATTAATTCGTGTCATGTATTTTGCCCTGCCATGAGAAAGTAACCAAAACAAGACCATGACTGCTAATGAGCATTGACTACTGTCAGCTTTAATTCTTTCAATATTCTTATCAAATACAACAATCCATCAGATACAAACTCTGCATATACTTACCCCTAAGATCACTTTGGCTTGTTGGTTTCTTGAATCAAGAATTCTACAAGTACAGACATACGGCTTTTAATAAGCTAAAAATAAGAAAAGCAAGGGGGCAGCAAAAAGAAGTGTTAAGACATTGTTATAGTCAAAACCAGTAAGGAAGATTAAGGAAATGTGAAATTACAAATCAGGTGTCCCAAGATTTAATCTTGTTGTTAAATACCTGACAAGAAAATACAACTTGGCTATCTTTTGTCTGACTTCACAGCCTCTACCTCCCATGTCCGCTATAAGGACCAGTTCCACAGATGCTGACCTCTCTAGTGGAGTTCTGTGCTTCTGTACTTCCTGCAGTGACAGAGATTCTCTGAGAATAAAGTATGGGGTGCCTCCAGATAATAGTTGAGCATTTGAGGACAATCGAGAAATGTGGGAGAGTTAACATTCATAAGGCCACCTCCCTAACCATGAACACATCTCAAAGGGTAAAATGCTACCCACACTTTCATGCAGTGGGTAGACGATTCAGATATCATTTTATGAGACACTTTAGAACATCAAATAGAATGGATCTTCAGGCTCATGGAGTGACAGCCAATTTAAAAATGGACCCTCTTAGTTTTCCTGTCCTTCCATTTTATTGTCCAGTCCCCTGGCAGGGTTTCTAGGGATCACTACACAAAATAACCTGCACATAAACTTTGTCTCAGGTTCTGCTTTAAGGAAACCTGGACTAAGACACTGCCTCCCTAGTAGTATGCCTCTGACCCAAGCTGAAGGCTGTAACAAAACTGAGGCCCGCCCTGGCTCTGCCTTTGCATTAATTCAAACTCAGTACATGAGATCAATAATTTACCAAGTGACAGAAAAAGGAATACAAATAGAACAAGGGAGAGTGGGAAAGCAAGCATATGAGATAGCATTTCACATGTATTCACTTTATACCTATAGAAATAGGTTCAGCAATGGGGAACTGATGGTCCTAAGTCTGTACTGAGACAGCAGCCGAGGTTATGTCCCAATAGAGTGAACCCAAAGGTTACTGGTATTAAATCTGTACTCTTGTGTAATACAGACATCACACTATGCACCCCTTCAAGTGGTTCACTATTCCTCAAAGCTAATCTTTGAGGGCATAATCTACTATCCTTGTTTTACAGGTATATCTGATCACTTGCCTAAGACCAATCAGGAGGCAAAGGAGCTATATTTGAACAAGAGCCCAAGCTTCTCACCACTATGCTACACAGCCCAATTAAGGAGGCCTTGAATTCTATCGGGCTGTGATGTACAATTTGAAGAGAATAAGCAAGCAGGTAGCAGGGAGTATAGAATAGTAAAAAACAAAAAACATTTTTTTTTGGTTCTGAGGATCAAACTCAGGACCTTGCACTTGTGAGGCAGGCAGCAGAACGACTAAGCTAAATCTCTGCCTCCCCCCCCCCATTTTTTTAAAAAAGAGAGTTTCATGCAATTTACAGAGCAAGAAGGCAGGGCTGAAAAGAGTCACTAAGACTGAAGTGGAGATGGCAACTGTGCAAGCACACACTATGGGCTTTCCCCTCACCACTCCCTTGTCATTGCTGGCAGTTGTGGTGCTGCTATCTTCAATGCACATGGGGTGATCCAACTGGCAACTTGGTTTGCATTAAAGCCCTTCATTGTTAAGTAACACAGATACTGAGCAAATCTGAATTAATATAATGGCTATTATAAAAATATACTTATACACAAGTAACTTCATTTTTATTTTATTGCTTACATATGATTGCACAGTGAATTTTTAACATTTAAAACTTACTTCAGTACATTTAACACTTGTTTCAACATGAATAAGATAAATGAACTCCATTTCTAGACAGGAAGACAAGAAACATTCTGGGAAATGGGAAGTTAATTGCTGGTAATCTCTGGTATTACTCTAAATGATAATGAGTTCAGAAGTATTAAGGGTGTGTGTGTGTTTGTTCAGGTAAATTCCAATCAAAATCTACATAAGCAGCCACAGATAACACAAGCAGAAGAGAACATTTAAATTTTGACTATTCAGTGTCACACAAAAGAATGATATAAGCCAACTATACATAGCAAAAAGAGGATGATTAACAATTTATTATGAGTTTTACATATCTACTTAAATATGTGGATGCAGTAAACTTCAACAAATTCTAGTTTCCATGTCTGAACTGACTACAACACAGCTCTAACTCTAATCCTAGTGTCCTGCAAGCATGGAAGGCTCAGCCAGAGAAAAGACCCACTACTTAGGAATCCTGGTCAACAGGACCTGTTCAGTCTACTGCACTTAGGATAAAAGCCTATTGTGATTTACAAATAACAACTCCCACCCACAAAACCCAAATTAACACTTTCCAAAGAGCAAGGGAAAGGTATGATAAACATTAATTGCAATGGTTTTCCTTTATATGCAATGCATGCAATTTTAACAAGAAACACATTTCTGTAGAGCAAAGTTTGTATTTTGCATGAGTGCAAATGAATGTTTATTTTTTATACTATTAAACTATATATATATATTTTTTTCATACAAAAGCACACAGTGTTAATTTATAAAATGACATCCAAGTGGATGGTGATTGTATTTGCATGTTCCCCTACTTAAATTTTAAATGCACAAAAATTAGCTTTCTTAAAAAATATAGAAAAAAAAGGCAAATAAAAATCCACAATTTGGCTTATTAACCAGTGACATATTTTACCTGGTAAGAGGGAAAGTTACAGCAACAGCTGCAACAGGGCCATTTGGTCCTGCAGTTGTGACTATACTATTATTCTGAAAACAAGGTCTGGTTTAGTTACATTTAACAGCTCAGGATGTTTTATTGTCATTTTATAGATGCAAGTGACCAGACTCTTTTTTAAGATTTTTTACTTTGGTTTAAATATACTCAAGCATTTGTGAGTATGCTTGTTTTCATATCATTTTTTTCTATTTCTATTAAAGGGGTCCAAAAAATTACAAACACAAAGTCTTTAACTTTAGATCTCATTTTTTGCTGCAATTTTCAAAACAAACAAACAACAACAACAACAAAAAAAACCAACAAAGCCACTGAATTGTTTTTTGAATTACAATTTTATATATGGATTATGAAAAAAAAAAGGTATCTGACAAATGATTTCATAAAACTGTCCTAAGAGAATTTTCTACAAATTGCAAAGAAAGCTTGTTCATTACTATATGTTGTCATTCACTAAAATGCATGAATGTGGAGTGCTCCTGTGACCTTGAAGTGGAAATCAGAAGTAGCTTACACTGACAGACCTCAGCATATTTGCTAAAGCACAGGCACTCTTTTCAAATGTAATGCTACTGATCCTAAACAGAAGATACATATAAGTTTTGGTTCAAATTTTACACATTAAAAATCCACTTGAGGAATTTTTTTGACTATAAAGAGTGAAAACAATGCACAATATAAAAATGTAAATTAATGTGCTCTTAAGAGAAATTGAAATGTAGAGATTCCTCACAGGTGAACTAGTAGCTGTCTTAAATGTCCTTTTCTATACTAAATATATATATATTTTTAAAAATTTATTTAATGGAGCCACAACAAAATATTACTATAGTTTCAAAGCATTTCTTGTAAACTAATACATCTTATGATGTAAAAAATATTGCACAGTTTGGTACTCTAAGAGTAAGCGCTTATCTCAAGTGGTCAAACTCTCAGCAGAAAACAGTGTTACAAGAACTAGATGTTTTATAGTATGGTTATTTTAAAAGTCATAATGTAGGAAATAGGTGCTGTATGACTGTGAACGTGTTAAGGAATGCCTACGTTATTACAGTAGATGACTGGAAAGAAGCCCACCACGACCTATGAAAGTGCAGGGATAGAAAGCCATGTGACTGTTTTGCAAGAGAATTAGGAATATATTTGCTTTTGCAGATAACCAAGAGCATTTCTATTTCTAAGCAGTTGTATAGACAGTCAAGAAATATAGTAGACATTTCACACATTTTCAATTTTTTAAAAAAATTACGTTTGTGAAAAGTTTAAAAGATACTGTTTAACAATGGAATAATGTAAGAGTAATACCTGTTCAACTTTAAAAGCCCATAGGAACCTCAAAGCAAATTCACATGGCATACCTATCTTCAAAAGTACTCCAAATCATATGTAGTTCCCAAACTTCTAAGATGGTATACCAAGCACTTGGTTAAAGTAACTTCCATTATCATTCTCAAAAAATATGTTAATATGCATTAAGTAAACCCTGAAATTTCAGCCTGGCCTTAATTTTAGGCTTTAAAATTCTGTGCTGAGGTTTTCATGACCATTTAGTACACACACAGATCTGGAAACTTCATCTCATAGACTGGGACAGACTGGTACTGAGCATGCCCAGAAGTAATGGTCAGTGTTCCTGATGGGCTGGGGGGAGGACTGTAAAAGAAGAACATGACATAGTCAACAGCATATTTAAAAGCCATTCATTCCAGAGGATGTTATCTATTGCCTTAATCGCAAGGGATTGAGGCAATAAAACTGCTAACCAGCAATGAGGCTATATGGGAACAGATCACAGCAGTGTCATGATGCTTTATGTCTAACACAGGTATCATCCTTTCTAATATATTATTTTTTATAATGAGATTACACTGTGCATTCTTCAGATCTACTCTGTTTCACAAGCAAAACAGCTTTCATGCATAAATATACTGTCCTTTTATATTTTCCACTGAACAAATGCAGGCTCTCTAAAAGGTCACAAATTGACAATATTCAAATCTTCTACATCATTCCTGGATTTGTTTCTTTGTGGTTATGTTTTAATAATCTTGAGAGAAATGTTACAATTTCTATTTCATTAGAATAACAAGCAAGAAACGACAATAAGGAGTTAAATTCACTTTTATTTATGAAAAACCACGTATCTTTTCCCTTAAACTCTTTGGCAGGCCTTGCTGTTTTAAGGACACTGCAACAAATTCCAGTTACTGGGTCATCTGGGATGCTGCTCAGCCTCACCCTATTTATTTTACTGCTTCTTTTCATTTCGTGTATTTTTTCTTCTGCACCCAGATCATGATGAATGAAAGAACACTGGGGACTGAAGTTTAATACTGTTTGTTTGGTTTCTTTTCTGGAGACCACAACTTCTTCCTGCTGCTAAGGGTAACGCAAGGGTAAGGGTAACAAGAGAAACTGTACCAGACAGGACCAAACACTACTCCAAAGGCACAATGTCTGCTTTAGTTTAGTCACTGTATCATATAAGTGATCCCAGAAAAACTACTTCCTAAGTGACCTTGGATAAGTTACCTAATTTTTATGAGCCTGTTTTTCTACTGGTAAAAATGAAAATAATCACTATTTTTTAGGTCTTTTATAACTATTAAATGAAAAAACGCACTTAGCATAGGGTCTGGAATATTGTTAAGCAGTCAATAAATGTTAAGCTAGTAGTAGTAGTGTTTAAAAGGCTAAGAAACAGTAACTGTAGTACCAAGAAAACAGAATTAGCCACAACACTTATTCCGAAATATGAAATTCATATCATTACAATATCCGTGTGGCTAAATGTAATGATGATCCCTAGTAGCACTCTTCCTAAGAACATGGTTACAGATTTCAATTCTGTCTTTGTCACTCACTAAGTCACTTTAGTACTCTAACCCTCTGTCTCTTCACCTGGAGAATAAGAAAGAGCCCAGTCAGGTCTTTGAGCAAAAGTAATAGATACAAAGCTTGTAGCAAAAGAACAAGTACACAGAGAGCACATGCATCACAACTAAGGGACAAAGAACCAAATGCCCTCAACTCAGTAATTTTCTCTGGAAATTGAGTCTATAGGATATTGCATATTCCAGACTAATTCTCTGTTCTGAAATTTTGTCGGTGAGTGATTTTCTACTTAGAAGGAGTGGAAGGAACGGTAGCGAAGTGCTTAGGATAATATGTAATACTGATGAAAACGTGCCCTGGATATATAAAAACAGAAAACAAACTGAAATTTAAAAAATCAAATGGACTAGACTGCAGTGATGGTGAATCTTTTAGAGATAAGTGCCCAAACTGCAACATAAAACCCACTTATGTATTGCAAACTGCCAACACTGCAATTAAACCTGAATACTGAGGTTTTAGTTATGAAAAACATCTCATACATTTCATAACATCTTTGGTCTTACAAGAAAAACAAATAACATACATGCCATAGATTTGCCTTCACCAGACTATTTACCAGTCTCTTCCATTTAGAAGATAAAGGGGATGAAGCAAAAGAGACTTGGTTAATCAAGTTAAAAATATAAAATTATAGCTAATGTAGAAAAAAATTACAGAAGTACAGCTATGTGTGGCTCCTCTCTTGAGAAACTACTCAAATGCTCATTTGCACACACAAGTCAATGTAAAATAACACACAAGTTCTTTCTTTGCAGATGTCCTTATAGCACCATTGTGAATAACTGAATGATATAAGAGGATGCTAGAAAAGCCAGAAGACATCTGGACAAGATGTGGTGTTAGACTTCATCTGGTAAACAGCATGACCATTAAGACAAAGGGTCCACTATGTAATCATGTTTATCCTCAGTGAAAAGGACAATTACTAAACCACAACCAGCCAGACATTTACACTGGTCTAGTTGTTTTTGTTTTGTCTTTGTGTTATGGCTGTTGTAGTATAAAAAACTCCTTACCGTATAGTGAGCTCCAATATTTGAGCAAGTCTATCATGAAGCAAATTTGCCTGCAAAAAAGAAAACGAATGTGAAGAAAGGATTTATTATTTTCCAAATATCCAATATAGTAAATGTAATTTAAAGAACAAAGCACATTGTCTGAGGAGCAGCTGGTAAAAATTTTTTCCCACATTGTAGGTTGTCTCTTAATTCTGCTGATGGTTTCTTTTGCAGTACAGAAGCTTTTTAATAAGATGAGATCCCAGTTGTTGACTCTGCTAGTTCCCATGCTACTGAGGATTTGTTCATAAAGTCTTTTCCTATGCCAATGTCTTTCCAGAGTTCTGTCTAACTTACCTTCCAGCAAGTTTAGTGTTTCTGTTTTAATATTTAGAACTTTAATCCACTTGAATTTTAATTTAGTGCATAGTGAAAGATAAGGGTCCAGTTTTAATCTGTGGTAGGTTGAAATCCAGTTTTTCCAACACCATTTATTAAAGAGGCCATCTTACCTCCACTGAGGATGGTCAGCTCCTTTGTTGGATTTCTTTTTGTGTCTTCCAATCTGTTCCACTGATCCTCAGGCCTGTTTCTTTGCCAGTACCATGCTGTTTTTATCACAGTGGCTTTGAAGTATAGTTTCAAATTGGGAATTGTTATTCCCGCTGCCATGTGTCTGTTGCCTACGATGGCTTTTGCTATTCTAGGTCTCTTATGGTTCCAAATGAATTTTTGGATTCTTTTTTTCTAGTTCTGTGAAATATAGTGTTGGAATTTCAATTGGCATTGCATTGAATCTGCATAGCAGTTTTGGTAGTATGGCCATTTTCACTATGTTGATTCTTTCTACCCAGGAGCAGGGGATATCTATCCATTTTTTTATATCCTCTTCCATTTCTTTTTTCAGAGTGCTATAGTTTTCAGTGTAGAGATCTTTTGCTTCTTTTGTTAGATTGATTCCTAGATACTTCATTTTTTTGGATGCTATCGTAAAAGGAATTTTTTTCCCTTATTTCTCTCTCAGTGAGTCTGTTATTTGTATATAAGAAGGCTATTGATTTTTGGGTGTTCACCTTGTATCCAGCTACTCTACTGAATCTGTCAATTAAGTCTAGAAGTCTTTTGGTGGAGATTTTTGGGTCTTCAGTGTAGAGAATCCTGACAAAGGACTATTATCTAGAATATATAAAGAACTCAAAACAATCAGCCGCCCCAAATATAAAGACCCAATTCAAAAATGGGCATCCAAAATGAACAGACATTTCTCAGACAAAGTAATAAAAGCAGCAAGTAAATATATGAAAAGATGCTCCACATCACTGGTCATTCGAGAGATGCAGATGAAAACAACACTGAGATTCCACCTCACCCCATAAAGAATGGCTGCTATCAAGAAATCAACCAATAACAAATGTTGGCAGGTTGTAGGGAGAAAGGAACCCTTCTCCATTGTTGGTGGGAGTGCAGACTGGTGCAACCACTGTGGAAATCAATATGGAGATACCTCAAAGAGCTGGGACTAGAGATTCCATTTGACCCTGCCATCCCTCTGCTGGGTAACTTTCCAAAAGAATTAAAAGAATCATATCACAGTGGTATATGCGCTCCCATGTTTATAGCGGCACAGTTTGTAATAGCTAAAACTTGGGAACAGCCCATTTGCCCATCAGTTGGAAATTGGATAAAGAAGATGTGGTTTTTCTATAAAGTGGAATATTACTCAGCCATAAAGAACGAGAAAATAAATTCATTCATAGGAAAATGGACACATTTTGAAGATATACTCCTAAGTGAAATAAATAAGTCACACGTGTAAATACTGAATAGTTTCTCTGATGTGAATAAACTGTAATAATAAATAAGATCCTAATAAAATTACTGACATCGTGAAATGGGAAGAAAGGGGCTAAAGGTGTAGGGAAGGTGGGATGGGTAGGGGAAGTGTAACAAGGGAAAAGAAAAAAATGTGAGATAATGAAAAGATGGAAATAAAGTGTTTGTAGATGCAGAGGGGAGGAGGGGGTGAAGGGAGGGCAGAGACAAGGGGAAAAAATGAGAACCAAGACCTGTCATGTAAAGGTACAAGATCCCAACAATGAATGTAACTGTACTATATCCCTAAAGTGTACCAATAAACTCAATTAAAAAAAAAAAAAAAAAAGAATAAAGCACAGCTACGACTATTACGCTAACAGAACAGAATGCCTGGGGTTGGTCTGTCTCATTCATTGGAATTTAATATAAAGTTTCTCCTTTCTTTCTTTCCTAATCTTACTGCTGAAAACTGATAAACATATAAAATATAAAACACAGCAAAATTACTGAAAACTACTGTTAAAAAAGTACACTATTGTACTATGCCTGCCTCAAAAGTGCAAGGTCCTGAGCTCAGTCCCTGGTACCAAAAAAAAGAAAAGAAGAAAAGTATACTATCTAGTTTGGAAGGGTCATTTCCATCAGCTTACATCATATAAAAAATTAGGTTTCACACAGCCATGCCTTTACAGTTCCCGGTTAATGGATTTCCAGCTTGGAAGCTACTCACCAATCAGCACAAGTTTCCACACTCCACACCACTCCAGTCACTATCAGTTCACTTACTTTGGATTCACACTGTGCTGCTATTTCTTCAAAAGGTGCTTTCTGGAATTTCTCTATTACAAGACGTCTCTTTTCCTTTTCTTGTTCTTCCATTACATTGGTATCTACATAAGTATTTAGGAAGACTCATTAAAATCCTATCAATGACCATGAGAGCTAACAACCTATAAACCAAAAATAAGGGTAATTTAAAAGGCCACTTTTATATGGAAAAAAGCAAAAGGCATAACATTCTTATGGTGTTTCATTTAAATTAGAAAGTACAAACTTATTTTAAAAAATAAAAATCTAGGAGGTAAAGCAACATAGCAAAAGGGACCTTTTCTTAGAGTATCTGTGTCTCTCTTACTAAAGAGAGAAAACAGTAACTTTCTACAAGTCAAACAACTTTAAAGACTTTCCTGGAGAATGATTCTTTTATTTGTAACTATGACTTTACACATATGAAATACTAAATATTTACTCAACTGAACCCCAACATTGAATGGAGTAACTGAAATACAAATGGATTATTTGGATACATACTGTCTGAATCTTACCACAACCTGGAAAGGGATTTTATCTTCAGCTAATGTATGATCTGGTTAACGTTCTGAGACAGTAAAATAGCGAATGTTTATCTTTTTGATACTACTGATATAACTGTTTGCTTTGCTTAAGAATACAGACAGGACAAGAATTTTAAAAATCTAAATAATTTATTTAAATAAATGATGTATTTATATAGAAAACAAAAGCATTTTAACTTTCTTTGCCATGCTCCCTCTATTCTGGCATCTAAAACAGTAATCAATATAAAAATAAGTTAAATATTGGCAGAACTAACAAGTGTGTAATATCTCACCAATTGTTTTCTTCAATGCCTCAAATGTGATTTCTTCTGTGTTACTAATCTAGAGAAAAGTGATTTTAAGTAAAACATCATTAAGAAAAGTCAATATAAACAATACCTTCACCTAATTATGAGTCATTTAAGAAATTTGCTGTTTTTTCTTTTCCGTTTTGGTTTGATTTGTGACTACTCCAAATATCAAACGCTCTTTGCTGTGCTGCAACAGTAGCTCACTGTGGTGGTTCCCCAAATGAGTCTGCAGGTCCGCATTCTACTGGCAGAATCAACATTCCCTCAACAACACAGCTGCCCTGGAGTTGTAGAACTGTCTCATCACAGGATGTGTAACAAGATCTGAGTCCCACAGCACTGTGCTCTGTGAATCACGCTTTCAAATAGTCAAGGCTGGGGCTATATACAAATACATTTTCAGTTTACTTGGCAAATAAAAATTAAGTATCTTACATACAGCCTCTGTAATTTTGGTACTCTTATATAGTTTACAAACCAACAATAAAACAATCTAAGATTTTTAAATGGTTTAAAAGAATCACTACTTTGAGAAGTGTTCAATGAATATAGTTTATCAGCATCTTAAAATAAGTGTACACAAGATCTCTATGGTCAGCCACCAAGTTATTTTCTGCACACACTAACTTGGGCTCTCAAATATCTCTTACTTTGAGATATTCATAGCACAAAATCTCCTATTTTATTAAATAATCAATAGTACTGTTTGTGGAACCAGCACTTTCTTAGAAGGAATAATATCACCAGTTACTATAATATCTCTGAATGAAAATTAAGAAATGATGTATAAGTACTTGCCTGGGACTCTGGTCTCCCTAATTTTAGCTCATGAGCTTCTTTTGCTAAGTCTAAGGCGGCAAGACTAACGAAACCAAAAGACTTCATGTTCTGCACCTTAGCTTCGCTGTAATACAAAAGCTTTAGCTGGAAACCAAGTAGCGAGCGTTCCACTACCTCAGGTTTTCTACTGAGGGCTCACATTTCTAGTTGAAGTCAGATTAAACTTGGGAATCTTCAGTTTCTTTGTTCTAGATATCTGGAGCAGACATACAACATTAGGCTCTGGCTAGTTAATTATTTGTACCTTAAAAATCTAGTAGTTTAAGCTGTAGGGAAGGTGTGATACGTAGGGGAAGAACAAAAAGGGAAAAGAAAAAAATGTGAGAGAATGAAAAGATGAAAATAAAGTGTTTGTAGATGGGGAGGGGAGGAGGGGGTGAAGGGAGGGCAGAGGTAAGGGGAAAAAATGAGAATCAAGACTTGCCATGTAAAGGTACATGATCCCAACAATGAATGTAACTGTACTGTATCCCTAAATGTACCAATAAACTCAATAAAAAAAAAAAAAATCTAGTAGTTTAATGAAAACTCCCTGTTCTTATGTTTTGCTAAGAGTTTCAGGTTTTTAAGAAACAACTAAAGTGCAAGAGAAAGAAGATGGGAGAAGTGAGTAGGCCAGCATTCTTGTTACATCAATATTTTAATCTTAAAGTTTGAATAAGCATTCACCAATACCTGGTGAATAAATCATAAGAATTTCTCTTTCTACTATGAAATTAATTAGTTTTAGTCTAGAACAGTGATGGTGAATCTTTTACGAGATGAGTGCCCAAACACTAACCTAAAACCCATTTATTTATGGCAAAATGCATATACTGCAATTAAACTTCAATATGGAGGTTTTAGTTTAGAAAAAATAACATACATTAATATCTTTTGTCTTAAAAGAAAAACAACATGCATGCCACTGGTTTGTCACCACTGGTCTAGAAGATAATTATATTCTGTCTTCTGATATTTGAACACCTATTTCTAGTATAAAGTAGATTCTACAATGGTGAATGAGTTTGAGACACACATGTATTGAAATAAATGTGGTACTAAATTACACCTTTCAAATGCTTGGTGTGAGACATATCTGACTCAGGACTTACAGCGAACAAAATTTCTGAAACATTAATAAATGTATTAATGGACTTTTAATATAAAGTTTAGGCAAAGAATCTTCCCTCTACATTGTCTTCATGCAAATATTTTTAGTTTATTTTATCAAAATAGGCTGCTTCTCTGAAACAGTGCTAGGTTACTTTTTTGAAAAAAAAAAAAAAAAAAAAAACAGTAAAGGAATGAAAAAAACACCAGTCAATAAAATACATTACATTCTTGACAGAAGTAAGTCCACAAACTAAGGCTTTGAATAAATTCTTTCCTTCGAAAGGTAATGGCAGCAAATTCATAATCATTAAAAGAAAGAACTCGTAAGATACTCCCATTGTTAGTAAGGAGATATGCAATTAAAATGTCTGCAAAGAAAAATGTAAATTTAGGGAAGACTATTTTAAGCTTAAATATGTAATCCCTAAGTTTCAAAACAAATACAAACTGCCTCAACTACTGCTGATGTTCTACTAGTAATTTCTTAATTGATTAATTCTATATAGTGGGGAATTGAATAATATACAATATTAGATAGTTGGCTACTCTCTGACTACAAATAATTTTAATTTCTGAAAACATAAGAACTGACAGGGATTGGAAGGGCCAGGGAGGAGAGAAAGAAGGCTGAAAAGCATAAATGTAATTTCCCTTCTTTTTTCTGGTAGGGTTATTACTTTGGTTATTTATCCAATGAGAAAAAAATATTACATCTATGAAGGTAAACAATGGATAATACACTAAAAGAGGGCTCACTCGAGTGGCTGGCATTTCAAGATTCAAAGCACTGGTTACCAGAAATTACTTTACTATTTAAAAAATTCTCTGGTGATTTATGTGAATAAGTCCTAGAGAATACTGCCTTTTTCTTCCTGTACCTTGAGAAGGTACACTCTTGAACTCTACTGAAATGGGAAGAAAGCATTAAATCTATGAATCTATACACTATCCGAAATAATTTTGCTTTCTACGTAAGCTTTTGAAGTTTTCTAAAAGCAATGAGAATTTGGCTTCATATGAGAGTATGTAATTCCATTTGTTTCTGCAATGTATATTTCATAAATTTAAAAAAACAACAATCTAGACAGCCCAACCCTTCACTTAGTTCTATTTTACTGTTCCTTTTATCTACAATGAATTACAGTGCAAAATATTATACAACATATGTTAATTTGATGAATCTTTACATATAGCTGGCATGAGCTCAGAAAAATATAAGTAAGCAGACTAAATGAGAATAATTTCCAGTAATAATTTAGTTGTTGGGGGCTAACTTAAAGTTGTAGTTTCTCAGGGGCTGGGGATTCAGCTCAGTGGTTTCAGTGCCTGCTTCACAAGCACAAGGACCTGAGTTCGATTCCTGGTACCAAAAAAAAAAAAAAAA